TTAGAACTGTATTGAAATGTAAAAGTATTCATTCTTTAAGTCCCCCATTGAAGCATTTTTTTCTTGTGATGAACCATTAAAAAGGCTCTATAAGAAATCGCTAGAAGGTTAAATGGAATTAGAATTTTAATATAAGTGTGTCTAATCTACATACAGATTGAAATGAGGTCCAGATTTTTCATTACAATCATGCCAAGTCTTTGAACTTATATTTCTTTGGTTCTATAAATTGATCATTTGACCTTTAATAAACTGAAAGCTTTTCTTTTTTTATGTAAAGACAATTGTTTTCTTTTAAATTTCAAGTTTTGTAATTTTTTTTCATTCCCAACCCATTGATGGCACTCATCTTAATATGGCAAGTTTTTCTGTGTGCTTGCTTTGGTTATACTATCCATTTGTCAACTAAATCATTGCATGTTTTTACCATACATCTCAGTATTTACCTGACATGTATAAGTTTTTATAAGAATGAAGTATGTGGCAGCCAGGCACCAAAGCTCACTTCACCTCCCATACCAGTAATCTTTACTGTTTTTGTACTCATGTTTCCAAAAGCTTTTCCAAATGATACTCAGTGGAGTTATCCTGTGAAGCTAAAAGAATTTTGCCAAAATTAAAATCATATTTCCAAGACCAGAGCACAAGGCCAATGTGACTTCTGCTCTGTTCTTCGCCTTCTCGATGGGGCCACACCGGTGTTCACAGACTGGTAAAGGAGACATCTTGCAAACAGCTCCATTCACAGGAGTCTTTCATCAAGTGCTGCATCTGCCAAGGTCGGCACTGAGATCTCACAATGAAACCCAAGACAGAGCCAGGTTTGTAAACCATTTCCAAATTTCTAAGCCACAGATACCATGTGAAATTATAAACACTGTTACATCAGGTCTCTTGCTTTTGAAACAATTTATTAGTCATGAATAACTGCTAAAAAGACATTTTAAACCTCAAAATGTCAAAATTATGCATTAAATAAAATGCCTCAAAAGACTTCCTATATGTCTGGCATCCAAAGACAGGGATGAATAAATCTTTGCCTTGAAAATGTTTAGGTTTCTGCAGGATACAGTCAAGTCAGCTGATATTTCTAATGCGTTGTACTGATTCTTATGGATAAGTGTGTCTACACAGTACTAGAAGAAAGAAAGTACAGTATAGTGTGTTATTCTTATCACATTAAAAATGCATCATAAGAGAAAGAATAAATCACAACACATGGATAAACTTTCTCAAGATAAAAGTGAGGAAAAATTTCCACTCATAGAATGGCGTTCTTATGACATGTGGGTTCTTTCCAACTTCTTTAGAAGTATTCCTTCATATAACTGTATCACATTCCCACTTTGGAGATGAAAAATTAAGACCACGAGTGGCCATATATCCCCATTATCAAAGAGCTATCAGGTAGTGTGGACTCTATAGCAAATAAATGACTCACCAGAGTCCCAATTCTTAACTATTAACCAACCATCACTCTATCTCTACCTGATTCTGGATCTTGGTAAACACCAAAGTGCATAGACAGAAAGAAATAGAACTTTGAATTTGCCTAGAATGAGCAGGAAATAATAGAAATAAACATGGCTGAGAAATTGGATATATGCACTAAATTACAAGACAAAAACCAAGAGCTAAGCAAAGGGCTGGAATTTCATGCAAGGTATTTGCTGTACTTAGGCAACAGTGAAAACATTACTTTTTTCTGATGTTCATGCTATGAAGATGTCTTTAGAGCTATCTAAATGGGAAGGAACTGATGATGTAGATAGAAGAAAATTTTGTAAGCTCTCTGAAAAGAGAAGGAAGTTGTGAAGTGCAATAACAGATATGGTGTCATTGATAAGAAAGCTGAGATTTATAAGTCATTTTTATTTACAGAGGATGGGCTACGACACATTCTCCAGAGCCTAATAGAACTTAAAACTGACTGCAGTGACTTTCTGAGGGGAGGCCTGGCTTTGTCATTAATGAATGTAGGCATCATAAGAAGGGAACCTGACAGAAGAGCTGTGCTTTGGCTTGAAGACTAACTGAAGTAGCAGCCATCCTATAACATGCATGTAACAGGTAGCATTTCATAGCATTTGATGACAGTACCTCCATGGAAAAGAGATCCAATATTCAAGTAATCCAATCTGGAAATCTAACTGCAGGTAGTTTTACATTTCATAGAATAAATTTCTGTGTCTACTTACAACATTAACATACCAATTGACATGGAGCTCTCCGAAGTATATATTGTAAAATCCGTTAACTATGTATTATGGCCATATTTAGTTTTGAGGTTCAAGTAAGTGAAATTATATTTTAATAGAAGGGACATATGAAATACTGCAATCTGTTCAGACTTAGTAAAAATGCAGTTTTCCAGAATAATTCACCCAAAGGTTTTTCACTTAAAATTCTGTCATTTTAAATTACAGACAATGCAGCTACATTTTCTTTGAAGAATCTATGTAAGAATATCATAAATGCATTACCTATTAGAGCAGAAACCTATGGCCATTTCGTTGACATTTAGGTCTTATGTCTGTCTGGCAAATAATATCAAACATAGTTCAACTATTAGCTGGCAGATAACATGACCATAATGTCTTTGTGTTCATAAACTCAGAAAATATACATCTATACTTTTATCATATTTAAGTTACAGTTTTGGCTCCTCTAGCATATTGTCTGGTACATATAGTGGGTTTTTGATAAGTAATTGTTGAATGACTAAAATTCCATGAGGGGAAATTTCCTTAATACTTCAATTCTCAGCGTTCAGATGATAAAGATCCTACCTCCACTGGAAATAAAAAGGAAATGATGGAGGAGAGAATGTGTATAAAGAGCACATTAAGATAATGATGACCATCTCTGATATGAACTCATGGGCTGGCTTTTGAATCACCTCCACTTGAGGGGGTGGGGGTAGCCTTACCAGTCCACAGAGGAAGACAAAGAAGCCAGTCGTAATGAGACTTGATAGACTATGGTCAGATGGAAGGGGAAGAAGATCTTCCCTATCATTGGACTGGAAGAGGGGCATAGGAGAAGAAGAGGGAGTGGGGATGGAATTGAGAGGGGAGAGGAAAGAGGGTTACAGCTGAAATACAAAGTGAATAAACTGTAATTAATAAAATTTTAAAAAGATAACGTAGCCCATGGCAGTTCAGTGTCCAACTGGCTTCCATAGTAATGGGAAGAGGGACTGGCTCTGACATGAACTGATTGGCCTGCTCTTTGATCACCTCCCCCTGAGGGGGGAGCAGCCTTACCAGGCCACAGAGGAAGACAATGCAGACAGTCCTGATGAGACCTGATAGACTAAGATCAGAAGGAAGGAGAGGGGGACCTCCCCTATCAGTGGACTTGGGGAAGGGCATGTGTGAAGAAGGGGGAGGAAGGTGAGTTTGGGAGGGGAGGAGGAAGGGGTTTATGGGGGGATACAAAGTGAATAAAGAGTAATTAATAAAAGTCAAAAAAGAATTAAATAAAAAAAGAAAAAGAAAATAATGAAAATGTTTTTGTTAGTGGTTGTTGGTGTATTTTTATTGTGGGATATATAAAATTTACCCCTTGTTCATTCAAACACTGATTTCTTTACCCCACTAGCTGGTATCTATCTGGACATTGCATTGTCATGTTTATTCTAAGCCTCAAGTTTGTGTACACATGCCACCATTTTTTTTTCTGTAATATCAATAAAACAACCAGCCAGTGCTGTGCAATGAAGAGAGTAGGGTAGGACATCCTGGTCCAAGAAGAAAGAACCAAGTGGGAGGGAGTCAGAGAGCTGAGACTGGCAGAAGAGGACTTGGCGCCATGAGGAGAGATGAACTGGACATAATATATGACTAAAAGCAAGTATAATAGGGGAAATCTGAACGGGAGGAAACTATGTGGGCTTGGAGTTTTAGGATGGAGTAACTATTACCAAGTATTTTGCTCTAGGGGATAAGGACATCCCCTATCAGTGGACTTGGAGAAGGACATGGGAGGAGATAAAGGAGTGAGGGTGGGATTGGGATGGAATGAGGGAGGAGCCTACAGCTGGGATACAAAGCAAATAAAACATAAGTAATGGAGAAGAATAAAAATTTAATTAAAAAAATAAATAAATCCTAGTCTCTGTGTGGTGATTTGGGTATACATCTAGTTTAAGACTAACCACTGTTTAACTAAAAGATAAATCAATAATAAACATTAATAATCAACAAGTAGTAAACAATGATGAGCATAAATTTATTCATCTACTCACTGAGTAAGTACTGTGTACCCAAGTAATTCATTTACTCCAAAACTTAGTCGATAGAGAATGGAAGATAAATGTCAGATGTGGAGATATATACAATTTCAAACCATAAAATACCTTTGAATAAAAAGATGAACAATGAATCTTGAGATTGAGCAGCCCTTAATGAAATCTATCTTTTCTTACTTGCATTACTCCTGCTGTGCTACAAACCCATAAAGGACATATGGACACTCAAGGAGAGTAAATCTGGGGGAAATCCTCTTGACACTCTACTTTCTGAAACTGAAAATAGCTGGGGTTAACATGAGAAACAGTGTGTCTGGAAAAGAAACTTGAGATCACAAGTCAGTGAGCCTCAGAAATAATTTAAAATATCTGTTTGTCCAAACATTTTAATGTAGTTTGTACTTTATTTTGTCAAATATATAACCACAAGTTTTTCTTCCTTTATAGCTGACTAATTTCAGTTCCAAAGATAAATCTCTACCAGGCTTTTTAATCTTCTTTTTTTTTTTTTAATAAAACTGCAGCATTTATCCTTCACGAAGCTTTAAAGATGAGGATATTGATTGCATTTTCAAATCAGTGATGACAATAGACCAAGAAAGGGAACAAAAGCAACGGACTGCCGTGTTACCAAGCACATCTCTCTGTATTTTATTTTTCATACTAGGTTGTGCTGGAGAGAAGCAATGCCATACTTTGGGAGAACATATTTCCCTTTGAGCTAAAAGGCAGGTGCAATGCTTCTTACCTGAAAAGTTCTTGTAATCCACTAAGTCAAACATAACTATAGCAACAGCTGACCATGTGATTATCAGAGCGATGACCAGAAGCCAGGCTGCAGGGGAACTGAACGTTGTTACAATGTCTTCGGTGACAGTCCTCTTCAACACCTTTCCAGGGGACTTGGGCACAGATCCATTTTTGTTGTCTATCACAGTTGTGGTCGTAGATGCATTTCCTGGTCACACATTCAGAAAATAAAATATAATTCATAAGTTAACTCCACATCCGACTACTATATGAGTTTAGTAAACTGTTGATGCTAATTTCCATAGAAGAACGCATGTGTGCTGTGCGTGGCAATAACCCGTAGGGCATTACCATTTCACACCATTCTCAGCATTTACCCTGACCCTGAAATCCAGGTGCTTAAGTGATAAGTGATCTTTATCTCCTATACTATTTCCCATTCTTACTAATAGAAGCAATAGTGAGTTTGGGAGCTGAGATGTGTCTTATTACTCTGCCCTTTTATTTAGACTCCCCTACAGCTCAGAAAGCAAGCAAAAGAGCATCATCTTTGGAGAGAATAAAAATAGTGTAAATGAATTAAATATTTTTTGATAACCTGGTTTAATTGGATAACTTGTCCTGACTGAGATCATTAGAATTTGATAGGTGTACAGAACTAAAAATTGTGTTGGGTGATCTTAGAATATCAGCTAAGTTACTTATTCTTGATTTTAGGACTTTTTAGCTTATATTTTTAACAAAATACACAAAATAATGAAGTTACAAATAAATAAGTCCAATATGTATTTTAAACCTCACCATCCAAAACCAACTTCTGTTAAAATGTTCTGGTGTTCCTAATTTTCTCAATATATATTTATGCATAAATGTCAGAACTTTTGTAACAAGTTATTATCACACTTATATTTGCCTTTAGCTAAGCAATATATAATAAGTGGTACAAATATGTCAGCGTAAGAAATTCTTTAAACTAGAAAATAAAGTATGGTCTCTTGAAACAGATGTGTACACAGCAATGTTTATGGTACAATTTCATTTCATGAAACATTCATTAAGTCCTAGTTGAAAATATGAAAATGCTGTATTGAAAGTAAATGTGCTGGTTTATGAAGTCTGAGTACTTTTTTCCCCTCCATATAGTGATACTTTCTTTTCACAGAAATACGATAAAAGTCCTATAATTCTTTGACTACCTAGAGGTAAGGAAAGACAGTGCATATCAATAGGTAGCTAAAACAGAACTACACAAGTAATTTCTAAGATAAAATGGTAAATACCGTCTTAGATTTTCAAAAGACAAAAATGTTAACCGGGGCACTATTCGTGAGATGATTTAAGTAAGACTTTTAAATAGCTTTTGATAGATATTAGCAATAATAATGCCAGACTTCCTTTTTCAAAAGCAGAAAAAAAAAACTATGGAGATGCATGCTTCAAGTTCATGAACTCAATTTAGTAGAACTGATAGCAAGACAGAACACTACCTCTAAAAACTGATTTCATAAACTGTATTTGAAGTGGTACTCAAAGAAGAAAAAAATTAGAGAGAATTCACATCATATCCTCTCATTGATTTTTGTGCCAAATTCCCATCACTTCTAATGGTAGTTCTGAAATGGATGAATGATTGGAGTGCTTTGAAATGAGATTTAAGACCCAAGTGAGGCCACAAGTGAATCAAACCTTCAGAATAATGATTTTCAGGAGAGTAAATGAATTATGAGTGTTTAGGAGTAGCCTACCTGAAAGTTGATATGCTACTAATCTCCAGTATTTTGACCTCTGGAAAGCTTTCTCTTACTCTTAAGGAATTGTTTCTATACTTCAGAGGCACTGGAGAGAGTGGAGTACTACGGCTGTAGACAGGGCTGTATTGCCTGTTTGCTTGCTGTCTTACCTCTGAACACATAAGTTTAAAAAGGTTTTACTCAGATTGGTAGAATCTTCATCACATGTTTAGAAAGTAGAAAGTTTTAAATGAAACATTTTTTCATTTTAATCAAGAATAAAAGAAAAATGCAAAGTTAATTAAGTTTTGCAGGTTCACAGTTAAAATTTTGTGTATGTTTTTTTGTTTGTTTGTTTGTTTTTTAGGGAATTGATAGTCCTGGATTTTAATTCACTTTATCATTCTGATAAGAAAGCTATGGTAGAATTTTCAAACAGATGAAAGTGATAAGGTGAACATTAATTTACTAATTTTATTGTCCTCTTTAATTTTTTTCACCTTCACACTGACAAATTTTCCACAGAAAAATTAATCAAGGCTCAAGTGTTACGGAAATGCATGCTGAGTATTCAGCTAGCAAACAACAAATAATTGGAAAGTAATCAGAAGGTTATCATGCCACACACACGTCACTTGCCTTTGTCACAGAACACACTAAACCGTGTCTCTTATTTTTCATTCAAATTTGCTGCAGAAGTTAGACAAAGCCAAGAGGCAGAAAATTGAGAGGGCATAAAATTGCCTTCCTTGACAGCTGGTCAAGATAAATGCAAAGAACAGAGTGTGTAATCTGAGATTATTTAATGTTTGAGAAGCACTTTAAACATGACATGAGCAAGTTATTGATGCTCTGGAAAGAATGAGAGGTAAGTATTAATGGGCAGTTTGACATGGGCTTCACTTCTTGAGCCTTAGCACTCTAGACCTGATGTCAGGCTACTGTCTGTGCCTACTTTTAAATTCCATTTGTTTTGATTATTTTGATTGCCATATAAAATCCTGTTCCGAATAAGTGTGTATCTGGCTGCACAGCCGTGAGGCTCTACTCTGTTAAAGCTGAATAAGGAACCGCTGAATAAGGTCCAAAGATGGCTTCACAATCAAACTGTGCATGGGAGAATAAATCAGAAGGCTCCTGGTGGAAGTTACTTAACCTCACTACCCCTTATTGATCACTCAAAGAGACTGCCAGCTGCACTTGGCCATTTTTATTCCTGTGAAGGACCAATATGAGGGTGGCCAAGAATCTCCATGGAGACATGCATAGGTTACAGATTGATATCAATCAAACACTTTGTTTTCATTACCTAAAAGCATTACAAATTTTACATTTTAGCATGGGATGTGGTTTGTGAACTATACTATATTTTTTCAGTATTTGGAGAACAGTGGAAAGAGACAGTAGTATATACACAATCAATGACATTATATGCATTCCTGAAATACACTGAGAACATATTCACAATCTCATATTCAAATGAGCTCTGTTTTCTTTGACTGTAAAACCTATATCAAGAATTTTCTACGTCCCTTGAACAGATCTTTGTGCAAGTACAGTTGAAAATGTTATAAGTATCAATCTTCTAACATGTAATCAGTATTTGAAGAATGTATATATGTTATATAGTCAGGATGAATTAACATGCTTTTCTGGAAGTATATAAAAACTAATAGATATTAACAGGAAATATAATTCATGAAAACAATCAATAATGACTTTTGTTAAAATAGTAATATATTCTCATCAATATATGTGATATCTCTGACCCACAAAAGCTGTAATTTTCAGAAAAATTCAAATTCTAGGTATTTGAGATACATACAAAATCACTAACCCTTTTCAAGGATGCATATTACTTTTGTAATAACCCTGGCACCTGATTCTCTGTCAGTTTCAATTAAAGTCTCATATTTACATTAATAACATTCTTCCAAGATTTTGAGAGAATATAATAATTATAATACAATTATTGAGGATATTTTGGTTACTGATCTAGTGGATAAGAAACACATAGTTATACCTTTTTTCATGCAATATATTTTTATCATACTCTATGTGTTCCCCAAAGTCCTCCCAGATCCTCTATAGCTCTCTCTCTATATATATATCCACCCAAATTTATGTTCTCTCTCTCAAAAACAAAAACAATATGATTACAAAATCCTTGCTATTCATCTATTTCTTCTACTCTTCCTTTGGATGATTTTTTTTTTCTCTCCAATGTTGAGGCCAATATGAAGGCCAATTCTGCATCACCAACCAGAAGAACATTTAAACAAAGTTTGGTTACAGTCTTACTCATGACTATGATAGGTGATATAAAGCCTCACTCCTCAATTTTCTGTGAAACAACTGGAAGTCATTATTTTTTCTTCTAGAAGGTTATGAGTACAGGCTTTAATGGCTCTCAGGTCCACCTGAGAGAAACAGCTACAAGATGGAAAGAGAATCAACCACAGTGTGGACCAATGGAGAAAGTTGTTCTTAGGTCCAAACATATTCCTAGCCTTTCTAGATACAGGGCTGTACACACATGACTATAGTTTTATTTTGGTGTTTCTACTACCAGCAATCACAAGTTTTGACTGAGGTACTTTTAATCATTAGGAATATAAGATTTTTTCTTCATCTGTTTGTACTACAATAATTGATCATTCAGAATTTTCTGAAGCTCAGAACGTTTATAAAAATAACTCATAGGTTTGAAAGGAAGTATTATATTTAGTCAACTCTGGATGAAGTAATGAGAACCACAGAGTTACACATACAATACATTTTCTTACTGTGCTGGGGGTTGGGGTTCTGATGGCACTGTAGGATTACTTTAATGGCTCCATTCCTGGATGACAGCTTTCTGAAGGTGTCTTCATGTGGAAGACAAGGGACAATACTTCTAAGTGTTTGTTGTTATAAAAACAGTAATTGTACTTCAAATTTCCCATGCTAATTACTTCTTCTAAACCTAATTGCCTCCCAACCATCTTATTCACTTGTCCTCCTAGCATCCGTTGGAGATTAGGACTTGAACTAGTTATCAAATGGGGGAAGAGATATAGTTCTGTACATAGGATAAATCGCTCACTTTGATTTTCTTTTTACAATGTAAAACTACCAAAATATTTTAAGCCTAATAAGCATAACTATTTGAATAGAACTCAATCTTTCATAATGAGATAACAGAAACCATGGCTGGTGCCCATTACGACGTTCTCTGCAGCCCAAAATCAAAGTGTTAGTTGGCACTATACATAACGACACACTATAGAACTGGAACTTCACAGAGAGTAGATCAAAGGTTTTGTGGCTGGGTTAATGTCAAGATGTGCTAGGGTAACAGCAGCGCAGAACTTGTAGGACTAGCCAACCAGTGACTACACTGACTTGAGGCCCATCCCTCCAAAAGGGAGGCCATGCTTGGCAATGCTTGGATGGCCGGGAGCCAGCAGCAGTACAGGTTACAGATCCAGGTCAGAAC